ATAGTTGCCTAATAGTCTGTGTTATATTCTTCTTTTACTTTATTACACTCAACTGTATTTTTATAGAGTTTTATTTTAATGTCCTAAATTCAGTTATATGAATGTTATGAATGTTATATTTAAGCATGTGTGTTCTATGGCTTGTTGCCGTAATAAATGCCTGACTGACTGACCGGAACGACCCAATCAGGCCGAGTAGACCAGTAGGCCTTCTCTGGAGGAGGTGGACTTGAAGGTCCCCTTCGGAGAAGGGCGAGATGGAAAGGATGTGTGTATGTGTGTGGGTGTGTGTGGGGGGGGACTTTCCCTATGAAGAAAGGTTAAAACGCTTGGGGCTCTTTAGCTTGGAGAAACGACAGCTGAGGTGTGACATGATCAAGGTTTATAAGAGTATGCATGGGATAGAGCAGGTAGAGAAAGAGGTACTTTTCCCCTCACAATACAAGAACTCGTGGGCACTCCATAAAACTGCTGAGCAGTCAGGTTAGAACAGATAAAAGGAAGCCCTTCTTCACCCAAAGTGTGATTAACACAGGAGGTGGCGGTGGCTACAAGCATGGACAACTTCAAGAGCAAATTAGGTAAGCATATGGAGCAGAAGTCCATCAGTGGCTATTAGCCACAAGGTATAGATAAGAATTCTGAGGCTGGGGTAAGTGATGCTCTGTATTCTTGGTGCTGGGGGGGGGCAACAGTGGGAGGGCCTCTAGTGGCCCCACTGCTGGACCTCCTGATGGCACCTGGTATTTTTGGCCACTGTGTGACAGTATTGGACTAGATGGGCCATTGGCCTGATCCAACATTGGCTTATGTTCTTATGTTTTCAAATCCTGTAGAATTCCTTGACGGAGTTACACCCTTCTGAGTTCATTAAAGTCAATGGGCTTAAGATGTAATTTTTCTTGGGACTGCACAGTAAGAAGTGTACATTCAAATGAAGATATTGTATCATGCTGCATATCTCAAACCTTTGAATCCACTTCTATTTTCCTATTGGTTTATGCAGGCTTGTTCTTTTGTATCATACTAGAATTGTATTTTCATTCATGCTATGAGTGAACTGATACAATCCTTCAACAACTGTGCATTCCAAACATACCTTTGCCAAGATTACACATGCTGTCCCCGTATTCATACTGAATTGGCAAGAGAAGATAGTGCTTACCTCTTTCCACGCCTGCTATCCTTGCAAATGCCGCCCCTGTCATTCCTATCACCCCCCACCCCACTCCAAGCAGGGCGTATTTCTGCTGTAGGAGTCCAGATTTCTGAAGTGGGGCAAGAGCAAAGAAAGCCTGATAGGGCCACTGCTATGAATAATAGGCACGTGAAGGAAACATTAAGGTTCTTTCCCATCTGCCAGTTCTCCACTGCCAAAATCTTATTCTCAGCATCACAGTTTTGCATGACATGTGCTATCTGGCACATGGCTTCACTTAGCTTCAACTTGCCTTTATCCTTTATTTTCCTTCCATTCATAGCCCAGCTTTATGAGTGAGATTTTCAAAGAACAAGGACACCATTGAGTCTTCATTGGGTATACCATAAAATTCAGTTTATTAACACACACTAATGTGAAAGTAAGCCAGCCAGCATCCAGTCTATCTGACAGTGTGGAGTTATTCAACAAGGCCATGATCCTGCAAATAAAATTATTTGACATTGTCAGCCCTCTTCCTTGAGAAGACTTTAAATAGAGTTTTCAAAACCATCCAGAGATCAGATGTGTTCCTGGCCCAATCAAAACAGTCTCACTTCTCTTCCTGTTCCAAGCAACTTCTAGTTATGCACATGCTACAGAATAAACAGATGTATACTAGGAACAATGGACAGAGAAGAGCCGCTATTCTTCACAGATGCAGGTACCATGGAAATAACAGATGTTTCCCTGATCCAGTAGATAGAAATGATTAAGTCAGAAAATGACCACAGGGGTAGAACGGTGTATACACCCAACTCTCACAGCTATTTTGGTCAGAAACAAATCCTGCTCCTGGATCTCCCAGCTCATCTCTCCCAGAATGGTTGCTTCCATGTGGGGGGGGCAATTTCCCATTGTGCTCTCAGCATAAGTTCCACAGAGGGATGTTCTCCATGGTATCCCCTTGCACTCCACCCCTCATTCCTGCCAGAGTGGTTTCTGTCTGCTTAAAGATGACACTGTAGCAATGTACTCAGTACTGATTTAAAGAAAAAAAAGAGTAAGAAGCCCACCCATAGCAGGCGAGGGGGAAACTGTGCTGGATGTGCATGGGGAAATGCAGAGGCCTGCACCTTCCCATCCACATGGTAACCAAGAAAACTTTAAGTATGATCTTTCTGGAAAGATTGTACCAAAGCAGGTTTGAGAAAATAGGGCAAGTGGATCATAATATGATGACATGTGAAAGAAAAACAAAACAAAACTGCTGCAGTTTACGGGGGACCATGCAGCTAAAAGTCAGTGCAGAAGCAACTGGTATCCCTGCTCTCCCCCAGGAACCTGGAAAGCCCACACCTTCTGCTATGTGCATCCCTCCCCACTGAGTGTCAGTGGCAGAGGCCAGAGGACAACTTGTGTGTTAATTTCCTGAATAAAAATGTTTGCTACATACACATAAATACGTTCTAAGGCAATCCTGAAGACAATGAAGTGGCCTGGAATGGGACATAAACAGATCGAAAAGCCTTCTTGGCAAAAAGCACAAGGTGTCTCTTTGCACTGTGGAAAATCTACAAATCAAAAAAGGAAGTCAATAAACTTTAGAAGAAATTATAATGCAAGAACTACAGGAAATTTCCTTCCACTCTCAGGAATCTATGAAGCATTTTGCCCTCATGATCTGCTTTAAAAAAAAAGGATTTACCACTAAGTTATTTTCAAACTTTAGCCATCATTCAGAAACGTTTTAGAGGGATTTTAAAAATGATTTAATGATGTGTTGCTCTTTCCACAGGACCCTTCAGAAGCAGGAACCAACAACGTGACTGCTAGACTTTTTGTTTTTTCCCATTCTGAAATGGAAGGGTATATTTCTTGAAAAGCCCATAATACAGGGAATGGAAGATTTAAAAGCCAGACCACCACAAAACCAGAGCAGGAAAAAACCCTTGCAATTGCAAACCCTCTTTCTATCCACAGTTAAAGAAACAAAAAGTTAAAAAATAGTTAAACAAAAAGTGCAAACTGCATGCAATTGAATTGTTCCCGTTTTATAAATACCACATCAGAAAAGATAAATAACGCAAAGTGCAATCCATCCGCTCAAGCAACCACTTGGGACTTCAGCCCAAACAGACACACAGATGAATCACTGAGGCACAATATTCCGCGGTTGGAGGAGGCAGTTTAAAACACATGCCATTTTGTAGTTATAAACAGCAGAGGTCTTCAGTACATTCATAGTGGCAGAAAGACAGCCTCCTCCATTAATAATGGCAACGGGGAGATTTAAAGGTCTGTTCCTGCCCACAAACCCTTGGCTTCTCAGCTATATCATTCTTTAAAGAGCACGTTTTGCATATTTCATAAATGAGCTAAATGAAATTTGTGGGGGGTTCCCCAAGCCTATGGTGCTAGGTCAGGGTCAGTGTTCACCATTAGCCCAGTAACATTCATGACCCTGCAGTGTTAGTCCAATAATGATGTCATCTTGCTAAAAAGGATAGAATGTGTTGTGGTAAACGTAAGCTGCAGATAAAAATCTGACCCCTTCAGTAGTTAAAGCAATTGTGCAGAGGTTTACACACACAATATAAGCAACAACCAGTTTTGCTTTCAAGCAGACTGCATATGGAAAATACATTGGTGGTAAAAACGATTAGCATTCCTGAAGCTGAGGGAATGCAGAAAGGAGTGTTCAGTGCCCACACCTAAGACATTCACAGTGCAATCCTAAGTATGTATACTTGGAAGTAGCCTCCATTTATCCAGTGGATGAATTCCCATTGCAAGAATACTGATCTCAGCAGATCAAATCTCAGGCATTAGGAAAGGTAACAAACCAAAGGGGAGTCAAGGACACTTTTACAGCAGACAATTCCATTTATATTGCTGGGGGGGGGGGCAGAATTTAGGATCCTATAGCCTCATTTGTGTGATGAACAAAGGAATGGTATGCTCAAAGGAGACAGCAGATAGAGTAATACCTAAGGATCTCATACCTGTTCTACAGCAATGCACTTCTAGTTGAGTGAACCTTCCAAGACTTATTGCAAATTCATTAGAAGTGGTCCATGCGCACATACCTGCTTGCCTCTCCCTTTGTTTTACAACTCCTGCATGAAGATTGCAATTTACTTGAGCCACTGGTTTCAATAGGACATAAGTGTAAACAACTTTTCTTTCGCTCAAAGCTGTAGAACTCCACATTCACAATCTAGAAAGCAACTGCAACTTTTAAAAAATCTCTGTTTTAATTCCATCAACTTGCCAAAAAGTCTGGACTCCAAACCACCTGCTATAGAGGGCTTGTAGAGGCCTGGAAAGCTGATAGACATCTAAAAAAATACATATAAAATATATATAAAATACCCTAATGGAAATGAGTTAGCAAACTGGGGGGAAAGTCCTAATATTAGCGGTATTGCATTGTAGCAAATACAGAAAGCAAAGATGGTTTAGATGCAGATATTAAACAGTGACAAATATTTTTTAAAAACTGGATTTTGAGTATATGGGTTTTCTAATGGTAAAAGTAAAGGTAAAGGTTCCCTTGCTCGAAAGCCAGTCGAATCCGACTCTAGGGTTGCGGTGCTCATCTCCGTTTCAAAGCCGAAGAGCCAGCGCTGTCCGAAGACGTTTCCGTGGTCATGTGGCCGGCATGACTAAACACAGGCGCACGGAACGCTGTTACCTTCCCACCGAAGTGGTCCCTATTTATCTACTTGCAATTTCTTGCTTTCGAACTGCTAGGTTGGCAGGAGCTGGAACTAGAGACAGGAGCTCACCCTGTCATGCGGCACCCGGGGCTTGAACCGCTGAACTACTGACCTTCCACAGCCTGCAGTTCAGCGTCTTAACCACTTGAGCCACCGCTAAACTAGCCCATGTTAGGGGTGTGGGTGTATTTTTAGGAGTTCAGCAAATTATTCAGTTGACTTTCATTGCAACAGAGATGTAGGAGACCAGATCAGTGCTGAAGGGGAAACTTTAAAAAAATCATTCCTGTTTAATTTTCTTCTTGAGAACTACAAAGCAGCTAGTGAATCACACAGAATTCACACATGAAGAGCTGCTTCATATTAAAAAGGCTGTGCCCAGTGGAGAGTGGTACATGAAGACAAAATACAGTCTACACAGTGTATGTATGTTCAGGGTAACATACAGCCTAAACTCAGCATTATTGCCCCCGGTTTTACCATCACGAGTACAGTCACCATATTGCCTTTTGCATTTCGTTCCATGTAGCAGCTCACATCCTCAAAAGGAGGACTACAGTTTAGCTTAGAGATGAATGCTTGAGTTTATAAGAATAGGGAAACCTTAATTAACACAACTCATTCTTGGAAGTAAAATATTTGATACTTATTTAACCACAGTTCAGCTGATTTTTGTTTTTCCAGCAGAGCAAAAAAGAGATAAATTAAACACACACACACACACTTTGCAGGCTTACACCAGTTCTTCCAAAAACATTCACTCTTCTTTGCTGTGCTCTGTGACCCGGTAGGGAGGGATAGGCGCTCCTTTGGAGCCATGCTCTTCTTGAACTACTGGTAACGTAGCAGGAGCATAGATTTCAGAGATGGTATCATTGCTCTCCAGGGCACCATAAGAAAAGGAAGTTTTGAGGTCAGGTTGAACTGCAGTTCCGTTGTCATGCAAGTTCTGCATGCCTGAAAATGGGGAAAGAACAAAGCCACAAGTCAATAGCAGGGAATGGGGAGAGAAACCACCGATTTGCCATGTCCTCCACAATGAGGAAATAATTCCAGTAGCCCAAAGTTCCACTACTTGTTTTTCAGCAACAACAAACATCTATTCTGACCTTCCACGTCATTCAGAGCAGCTTGTGACACATAAAACAAACTTCTATGGTATACTAAGAATGATCTTTCAAATATTCCACTGATCAGCGGAGTTCACCTGAAAAATACTGCCCTCAGAGAATAGTTAAAAAGATGAAAGAAGGTACTGTCCACAATGGCTCCATCCTGTCTTTCTATCCACAATGTTAAGTCCAAAGGACTCCACTCAGACTCTGCATCAGATTCGGTAATGACATCTGAACGTCCTCTAGAGTCAATCTCATCCAGAACGTCTGCTTTCCCATCCAACATCACCTCCTTCTCATCAGGATTCAATTTCAGCTAAGCAGTCATGCAACTTTGGAAGAAAACGATTCAGCATTGTACCGTTTGGGCTCTAGCTTCCCCTCAAATGTATGTTGGCTTTATTCAGCTTTAACAAAACTGTCTCCTTGAAAAAAAATCCTTGGAACTGTATGGTGATGAAGTGTTAAGGAATCAGCTCTCTTACAGTTCTCAGTATAACCCAGGAACAGGAACCAATGATTAAAAATCAGATTCTTCTGAAGTTGAGTGTCCTGATTGTATACTTGTTACATAAATGTAAACTCCGTTGTGTTCAGCAGAGAGCAGTTAAAGCTGCTAGCAAACAGGCCGCTTTTTTTTTAACCCAATGTTCTTTACATTTTTTTAAATCAGATCCAAAGGTTCACGGTAGACAGACTGCTGTATTGTATACCATGACTCCTCCCCCTCTCGGCCTCCTCTCACAGTTCAAACAGGTAAACAGTTCAAAAGAACCTATTCCTTCTGAAAACGCATCCAGGGTTGTGGAGAAAGGAAGTAACATGTTTCTGTATGTCATTCCCCATTCCCCCCCCCCCCATCCACAGGAACCAAGATTGGGAAGGGAAACTGAGGAGGGGAGGGGGAATGGCCACCTAGTGACACTCACCCCACCATCCCTAAGCACCCCCCCCCCCAGGATCTCCCAGCATTTGTCTAAGGCTCTAAGCGGCAGTTAGAACCCTACAAGCCTGGCCCCATTCCTAGATCCACCTACAGCGACAGCCTTTTCCCTCAACCAGCTCATCACATTTGATGGACTTTTCACTAGCAGAAAATTAAAAATCCTGCGGAAGGGAGTGGATGACTAACATTTCTAATATTTTGAGAGTTTTAGTAGGCCTGTAAGAGGATGGATTTTTAAGCATTACCTGGCATAGCATCCATAGAGATGTAAGGTTCAAAAAGGATAGATTTCCTCTTGTTTCTAGTGATCAAGAAGACCCCTAAAAACGCAATGAGACACCTGAAAGAGAGAGAGAGAAAAAGGAGGGTGGTGAGAAAAATACTTCAGCAGAAGAGGCATAATACAAGAATGGCTTGTCATAGAAGAAGCTGTTGGCTCTCGTTTCTGTTTTTTCAATATGTACACACATATACACTAAACTTTTAAGTTTTCCTTCATATCATCCCACTTTAAAACAGCTGCATGCTCTCTGCGATAAAGAGGGAAAAAGAAATAAAAATTCTGCAATGGGATCTGAATTCTGCACCCTACATAAGGAAGGCAGATGTCTGTTTATTTCACATAATTATTCCTCTTCTACTAAGTGGGGGGGGGCACAGCAAGTACTCTGATGGCTTCTGCACAGGGCAATTCCCCAATGTATGTTCACCAGTTCTGTCATGATCTGTGTAGGCCTCTGGAGATCTGTGCAGGACTGGGCCTAGTGAGGCCTAAGAGACCTCCCTGGGAGTGGGAAGCAGACAGCCTACAACCCCCACAAGGCTTTGCGCCAGTGGTAACCAATGGGAGTGGAGGAATTCTCTGAGTCGATTGTTTATATACTTGGTGGTCAGTTAAACGGTGTTCTTTTCCTCTCTGTGGTTTTTGCCTCTCACAGAGCTAAGCGGAGGAGACCGGTCTGGGAGAAAGATCCCTCACTGGGGACAGTGAGTACAGGCAAGAAGCCTGGCATAAGAGAGCTGTAGGGCTTGAGTAGTAACAGTCAAGGAGTATTAGGTAGCTGAGTTAGCTTTGTGTTTCTTTTGGCCTTTCAACACTATGTATTTAAAGCACCTTGTCTTGTCTTGTTTTCCCCCTGCCCAGTACTGTAATAATAAACCCTTTTTGTTTAATTGTTTGTCTGCCTGGTCATCACGCTTACGTTTCTCAGCTACAAAAGGGGCAATTTGAAGGGGCTTGGGAGGGTACCCTGGGCCTTCTCAAGGGACCTAAGTCCAGGGTGGTGGTGACAGAAGGTGGCAACCCGCTGGGGTCATGACATCTTCTATGAATGCAGAGACATTATCTGTGGATGGGAGACCACCAAGAAAGTCCATGGTCGTTAGACAGAGGCAGGCAATGGCAAACCACCTCTGTTAGTTTCTTGCCTTGAAAACCCTATGGCAGGTATGCCCAACAGGTAGATCACCAGCCCCACTTGGTTTCCTGGTATAAAATAAAATAAAAAATGTTCGCAGTTCTTTCTGGATCTTCGTCTCTCTGTTTTGCTTTTGCTTATTTTGCTTACCAGTAAATGACAGAAGGTGCATTATAAATTGGGGGGCGGTGCAAAAATTATTGCAGAAAGGGTGAAAAACTATTTACAAACGGTAATTTCTGAAGATCAAGCGGGCTTTTTACCCAAAAGGCAGATTAGAGACAATGTAAGAATAGTAATGGACGCAATTGAATATTATGAAAAGCACCCAGAAAAAGAAGTAGCTTTTCTGTTTGTTGATGCAGAAAAAGCTTTTGACAATCTTAATTGGAATTTTATGCACCAGATGATGGAAAAGATTGAAGCGGGACAACATTTTAGAAATTGTATTGAAGCTATCTATTCTGAACAAAGAGCTAAAATAAATGTGAATAAAGAACTGACAGATAACTTCAAAGTACAGAAAGGAACAAGGCAAGGTTGTCCGTTATCACCGTTATTATTTATCTGGGTATTGGAAATACTTTTACAAAAAATACAGTACGATCAAGAAATAAAGGGCTTGACACATAAAGGACACCAATACAAATATCGAGCATTTGCAGACGATGTAATGTTTATGGTGGAAAACCCAACAGAAAAATTGACATTGCTTTTTCAAAAAATAAAGGAGTTTGGAGAATTGGCCGGCTTTTACGTAAATAAGAATAAAACAAAACTTATATGTAAAAACATGATCAAACAAAAACAAGTGGAACTACAAGAACTGGTACAATGTGAAGTAGTTAAAAAAACAAAATACCTTGGAATTGAATTAACGGCAAAAAATATAGACCTATATAAGAATAATTATGAGAAATTATGGACTAAGCTGACTCAAGATTTTAAGAAATGGGATAAAATGAACTTATCACTGATGGGAAGAATATCAGTTATAAAAATGAATGTCCTACCACGTTTGATGTTCCTGTTCCAAACAATACCAATTCTGCATAAAACGGATTTGTTGGCCAAGTGGCAACAAGAGTTGTCAAAATTTGTTTGGGCAGGCAAGAAACCAAGGATCAAAATGAAAATACTTTGTGATGCCAAAGAAAGAGGAGGTCTACAAATGCCAAATCTTAGACTATATTATGAAGCGGTTTGTCTAACATGGATGGATCAATGGGTGAAGCTTGAAAATGACAGATTGTTGGGGTTGGAAGGGCATGATTGTAGATTTGGCTGGCATGCATATTTATGGTATGACAAGATAAAAATGGACAGTTTTTTTAAACTTCACTTGGTGAGAAAAGCTTTGTATATGGTATGGACAAGATATAAGAAGTACCAGAGTGACTTAAGACCATTGTGGATTGTACCAGTAGAAGTGTTGATATCTTACTCAAGACAGCGAGGTAGAGACTGGTTGCCATATAGAGATTTAATTAAAAAAGAGGGAACAGAGTGGGTAATGAAAAAGCAGAATGAAATTGAATATGAATATGAGTGGTTGAAATATATGCAGATTTATGATCTTTTTAGATCTGACAAAAAAAACTATGGTTTTAGAGAGGAAAAAAATGAAATTGAAAAGGTATGGGAGAGTGGAGGAGGAAAAAATATTTCTAAAATGTATAAGGTGTTGTTAAAATGGTATACTGAAGATGAAACTGTTAAAGAACAAATGTTAAAATGGGCTATTAATATGAATAAGGAAGTGGATATGGAAACTTGGGAATATTTGTGGAAAAACTCTATTAAGATCTCGACATGTACTAATGTTAAAGAAAATTGTTATAAGATGATGTATAGGTGGTACATGACACCTAAGAAGATTGCAAATATGAATCAAAATATGTCAAACAAATGTTGGAAATGTAAGAGGCATGAGGGCTCATTTTATCATATGTGGTGGACTTGTGAGAAAGCTGTAGACTTTTGGACAAAAGTCCACAATGAAATGCAAAAAATACTGAAATGTTCTTTTAAAAAAGCACCGGAAATTCTGCTTTTGGGACTCAAAATGGAAGAAGTCAATACGACTAAAAAAACTTTACTCTGGTACCTGATAGTGACAGCGAGAATGATTTATGCTCAGTTTTGGAAGACAGAAAAGGTACCAGAGGTTGAAGAATGGATACAAAAAGTTCTGTTCATGGCACAAATGGATAAGATTACAAAAAAACTGAATAACAAAGAAGACGATGAGTTTTTTGGAGAATGGAATGATTTTAAAATTTATCTGGAAAAGAACTGGGATGTGAAACAAAACTTAATATGTTTAGATCAATATTAAGTCAAACGATGTTATCTTTAGATTGTAATGATGAAAAACTGATATTGTTGATGATATGAAGTAATTTGGAGCAGGGGTGGAAGCATTGTGGGAAGCCATTGGAGGGAGGGGAGGAACTGGGAATGGGGTAGACAATTGATAGAATGAAATGTTTTATATGTTGTATTCCTGAGAAAATAAAATTTGTTTACCAAAAAAAAAAAAGAAGTTGGACATGCCTGCCCTATGGGATTGCTGTAAGTCGACGGTGGCTTGACAGATGTTTCCACCCTATTGCCATACCGTTAGGATATCACAGCAATATATCTATACTACCTACAGAAAAGCTGGGAGAAAGCCTGCTGCTGGGTGAGGGGGGGGGAACAGCAGGGCACAAGGGGATACTTCCAGGGAGGTTTAAAATTCCACACCTTCCCATCCACACTGTGGGCAGAACTGCTCTGTTTCCAATCTTTCTAGAAAGACCAGAGCAAAGCAGGACTGGGAAATACTGTGGCTAACCATGGAAGGAGAACAACTGGAGGATGTTCTTTTGTGGATCTGAAAAAACCTCACTCCACTTTAAGAGCAAGTTCTTAGTGTGGAAGCACCCTTCATCTGTGAGCACCTCCTAAGCTCTCCTTCTGGCACCAGAGATTCATTCATCAGTCATTCTCACATGCTTTCAAGACTACCTTTGCAATTGCAAAAGCCAGACGCTTGCTTTTTAAAAATTAAAAGAGCCGCTGAATTTATTTCCAATGCCAGGTTCTTTGCTCTAATTTATTTACTTCATTTAAACCCTGTTTTTCTTCTCAACAGGGACCCAAAGTGGCTTACATAGATCTCTCGTCTATTTTATCCTCACAGCCCTGTGAGGTAGGTTAGGCTGACAGAGAGTGGCCCAACATCTCCCAGCCAGCTTTCATGGCAGAGCAGGGATTCAAACTAGGGATGCCATTCCCCAGTTGGGGGTGGGGGATACTCTGGTTTTTCGGGCTCGTGCTTGCCTCTGGCCAGCAGGGGGGAATCCAGGCCCGTAGCTACAGTGGGGCATTTGGGGGCCGCCCCCCCCAACTTACATCAAAGGCCCCTTCAAGTGCCCTCCGACTCTGTCCCCAATAAAGAGGTGGCCTTGGCCAAGCTCCTCGCCCCCATTCCCTGCCACTTGCGCTCCCAGCCTGCCCCAAGTTGCGCTCGTTGCTTGGATCTACGGAGTCCGTGGCGGCGCCCGCCCAGTTGCACAGAGGTGCCTCTTAGGTGGGCAGTGGTCACGGGGCTCCTTCTGCGCTTGGCAGCACTTGGCAGCTGAGGCAAGTTGTCTTATTGCGCACGGTAAAGAGAAAGCCCTTTGGAACATTGCATTTCTAAGAAGGGGGGGGGGGCTCAGAGAACCAACTGCAGCCGCCCTTTGAAAGATGCACAATCTGCTATTTTAAATCTTTCCTATCAACCCTAAAACTTTGTTGGTCTTAAAAGTGGCCCTGGCCTGGACTCAAAACTTTGTCTCATCCCCCCGCACACACACTGTGCTATTTGGTACATTCTTCTACTCCGTATGGGAGCTGGAAAGGTCACAACGGCTTCTCCAGTCTCCTAGGTGAATGTCTGAAACTCCTCCTCCTTCAGCTGCCTGGGACTTTGTCAGTGTGCAGCTAGCATGGAGCTGGCCAGGGCAAAGGTGGAAGCACTTTGAGGAGACAGGAGAGAAGCCCTGAGCCACTGCAGCCGCCTAAGGAACCTCTCGCCATGGAGAGCTCCTAGGAGAATGTCAGCGCTGACTCTGGCTGTTTTGAAGGGGCACAGGGGCGTCTGGTGCCAGCCTTGTGCGGTGGGGGGGGGGGTCATGGCAAGGAATGATCCTGGGAGATCTTTAGCACCAGTTGCCTAATCCTTCTGTAGCAAAAAAACCAACCCCCCCCCCCCCCAGGAATAATCTCTGTTAGCCAAAAAACCCACCCCCCCCCCCCCCCAGGAAATAATCACACTGAAACTTTTCAGCCTCCATTTGGGCGAGTTACTTAAATTGCCTTTAATTAAATTAGCCAGTGCCCCCCGAGAAATTAAAATGCCCCCCAACTTTAAAATTCCTGGCTACGGGCCTGGGGGAAATCCCACCTCCAAACGCAACGTGCTGATGTCACATGGAAGTGACGTCATCACATTGGCGACGTCGCATATGACGCTCTGGTCTTTGGACAAAACTCTATGGTTTGAAGGCGATTTTAACATAGCGTTTTGCCTCAAAACCAGTGTGGCCGCGCAGTGTTGCTGACATGATGACGTCACGTCTGCTTGAGGTCAGTAGGGTCGCCAGGTCCCATCTTCTCCCCAATGGGGGGATTTGGAGGGTGGTGCAGGAGGGGGAGGGGCTGTCCCCGACGCAATGTCCTCATGCAGAGTGACATTATCCCGTCATGGGCGCAGCACCATGTGTGCATACCCCTCCTGCTTTCCCCCAACCTTTAAAGGGAACCTTCCCTTTAAATGGTTGGGGGGAAAGTGGGTGCTGTGCTCGCCTGCCCTGCAAACCACAAAATTGTGGCTTGCAGGGCAGGCATGCATGGCCTCCACTTCAAAAGAGTGGGTGCCCCATGCACCTACCCAGCAGGCGGCGAAATCACACCTTTAGGGGCAGGCACGTACAGTGCCCGCTCTTTTTAAGTGGGGCCACGGACAACAGTTGGGGTAGGCCTTCCCCCCTGCCAGCTAGCTGGCTGGCATCTGGGGGAAGCCCCCAAAATCGGGGAATCCCCTGCCCCCACCTGGGGACTGGCATCCCTAGACGTCAGCATGTCGCAGTGCTCCACCCCCACTCCCAGAAAGTCCCTCTCCCACCGGCGCAATGAATGGACCTGGCAACCCTAGTTCAAACCAGCGTATTTACAGAGGGAGATCACTTTATATAAACTATCCCCTCCCCCAGACAATGTAGGGATTCCTATTTCAGAGACTTCCAAGTTATGCTGGAAAGTATGGATTTTGTTGATTAACCGAAGCTGAGCAGGAACAGGCTGCAGAGGGCTGAAAACGCTCCAAAAGAGACAGCAGGCTGACTGACCCCAAGCATAAGGATAAAAAACAGAATGTGAAGGCCTTGAGTGCTTACAGAGGCCTGAAGGGGTAGATTTTCTCATGGAAGGGGAGAGAGAATGGATTTCTAAATTCTCTCCCTTGCAGTTCCTCAGAGCCCCCAGCTCATAATTTAACAGTTCTTTTGATATTCTTAAAAAAATAATGTGGTGGTGAATAGAGGACAAACATAGAGAATGTACCATGAACTGAAAAGTTTGATTCTAGCATTTAAAAACATGGAACTGTCACATTTTTCCCCTGAGAGACCAAACTACAACTGATTCACAACTGTAATGATTGCAGCAGATTCCACAGGTGATTTTATATTGCTCAGAGTCCTTGCAATCAGCTTCTGGGGTGGCAGGATTGATAACGGCTGCTGTTTATTGTTGATTTTTTCCCCATTTTCTAAGGATTGAGGTTGTAAGGCAAGAGCTCATGTGTTAACAGTGCTGAGTTATAAAGATTTTTGCATTTTAAAAAAATTGCAAAGACTTCAATCTGCTATGAGTTTGGTTACTTGGGATCTTCAGTGGGGTTGAATATAACCACAGTTCCAAAGCTGCTGGCCCAATACTGTAAACTTACCCTAAGGCAAACATACATATATGTAGAACATCCTCCCCAGTAAAGTCCAAGTAAAACGTTGCACCTGACCCACAGGGAGAAAGATAAAAGAGAACATTCAATAAACAAGCACTACTAAAATGCACAGGTGAAGTAGTTGACTTCATTTTTGTGGGGACTATTGCCCCCTCCCCCTCTAATTCCCCACAGCTTGTCACTGTACATTAAAGGATGGACTTATGCAATTTCTCTGTTCCTGCTGTGCCTGCCAGTTCAGTGCAGTGGCAACAAGGCTTCTACACAGCAGGTGTCCCCACATTTTCAATTTAATTATGACCCATTTTTCTCCCCAAAGGGAACCAACAGTGATTTACAAGTTGGTTCTCCCCTTCTCCATTTTGACTTCACAACCAACAGCCTTGTGAAGTAGGTCAGGTAGAGAGGTCAGTTAGGTAGGTTAGGTCAGCAAACATGGGTGGCATAGTGGGGATTTGAACCTGGTTCTTCCAGGTCCTACTCCAACACTCTAATCACTACTCCATAATCTGGTGAACTGTTCTGTTAATCATTTTCTCAGAAGAAGGGAATCTCATTCTCCCTATGCTGCCCTCCTCCTTTTGGTCCATTTTTGCTTCCTCCCCACATTCTGGCTCTGCTTCCTCCCCTCAACCACTCATTGTCCTCCCCACCTGATATTCCAGCTTGTCCTGATAACCCATTACTTCCTCTTCTTCTCAAAATGGAATACATGATGACCAAAATCTTGTGAGATACTCTCATGAGATCTTGGCAGCCATTTTAAGTTGCCTAGGCACAGAAAATGGCTGCTAAAATCTCATGAGGTGATTATGTAAGATTGACACATAAATAATTTTGTTTTGTTTTATTCCCTTCTTTTAAAAAGTCTTCAGATTTATCAGATATATGATTGATTGATATTACCTGCAGTAATTGCTATCATGGTGGACAAAATGTAACCTACACTAGCAATCTGGGATGCATCATACAGCTGTGAAGCCTGGGTTAAAAACCTACAGTCAAAAAATAAAAATAATCAGACAACACATTGACAGTTGGGACACATCAGTTAATAACAATATTTTACTGGCAAACTTGAACACATGAAGCTGTCCTGACCTTAATCACATCATTGATCTCAAGGTCAGTTTTGTCTGCTCAGATTCTACAGATTCTCAGGCAGAGGTATTTCACATCACCTGCTACCAGGTTCTTTTTAGCTGTAGATAGCAGGGATTGAGCCTTTGACCTTCTACATGCAAACCAGATACTCTACCACTGAGCCACAGCCCTGCACACACTCACTTGAGAGGACAGTTTTGCTCCCCCTATCCTTCCCCATCTTTCTCCCCACAGATTTCTGGCTGAGTCACTTAGTAGCAGGACCTTGAGTTTTTCACTTGCAACGTCAGAGAAAGAAGACAGTCTCTTGACTCCATGTTACTAAAATGGTCTCGCAAACACATTTGACTCCATGTTACTAAAATGGTCTCGCAAACACAGTTAGTTCCACCCACTAGCAGGACTCCAAGCTAGGCCATGCAATGGGTGCTTTTCCATCAGCAGAGGGGTTCTTGTCCCGTTTCCGTTCACTTCAGTGGGACTTGTGCAAGACAACTTAACAGCGGATTCTACGTACAGACGTCCATCTGACTCCCTCAAGGGCATCCAAAATCTGCCTCTAACTTCCGCTCATACCAAATCATCCCACTGGTAAACACATATCCCTCAGAACCTTAGTCTTTTTTAGGCGCCAAGCCAAAGCATTTCTCTTTAAGTAGGCTCTTATCTAAGAGGTTCCATCTTTTTGAGCTGTTTTATGGTTTGCTCCTAGCCAGATAATTGTTTTACAAATATCATTTTACACAGCTCTGTTTTTATTTTATGTGCCTTTACATCCTGGCTTGCTTTTATTTATTTGTTTTTATCGGCATGAATTACTCCTCTTCTTCTTTCTAACCAATGTGAGCTACCTCAAGCAGGCCTGGAGAAGTGGCATACCCATTTTCTAAATGAATAAACTGATAAGAGTGGTGTGGTCCAGACATTCCACATCCTTCCAGGAGCATGGAGGCATCTTGGGAAAAGATATGCTTGCCTCATCCAAGCCTTAGAAAAACAACTCATACTTATGGGATGAAGGAAGATCTCTTATAACAAGTGAAAAACCCTGCAAAAATTCACCCCAAAGTCCCATCATGTCCAGCATCCTGCTTCCAGTGTGCCCAGGACATTTATTAAGTATATCCCCCCCCCTCCTTCCTACAAGGAGTTCAGGGCATCATATATCATTCTTCCCTCTTTCATTTATCCTCCTGTGAGGTAGATTAGGCTGAGAAAGAGTGAGTGGCCTAAGGTCTTACAATAACTTTCTGGGCAAAATGGGAGATTAAATCTAGGTCCTCCTACTCCAGTACCATAACTACTACACCACGTTTACTCTCGGAATTTCACACGCAGCCCATGAAGATACAGTACCATAACTACTACACCACGTTTACTCCTCTCGGAATTTCACATGCAGCCCATGAAGATATCAGCCAATTCAAAGCCAATGGCTGGAAAGCCAGTATAGTGCAGTCATTAGAGTGTTAGACAGGGACCTGGTAGATTCAGGTTCAAATTTCCATTTAGTTTATGAAACTAACTGGATGACCTTGGGCCAGTCCCTCTTTCCCAGCCTAACCTACCTCACAGGTATGTTGTTCTTGTGGCCCTGTCTTACACACCCAGGGAAATGCTGATTGCCATTTTGGGGTCAGGAAGCAATTTTTCTCCAGGCCAGTTTGGCTGGAGATCCTGGAGGTTTTTTGTCATCTTCTGGGTGTGGAACAACAGTCACAGGGTGTGTGGAGGGGGAGGTATCTGTGAATTTCCTGCACTGTGCAGGGGGTTGGACTAGATGACCCTGGAGTTCCCTTCCAACTCTATGATTCTATGATTTGAAGGATAAAATGGAGGCGACTTATGTATGCCACCCTGAGATCACTGGAGGAATGGCAGGATAAAAAAACAACTAAATAAACTTAAGAGTATTTGTCACCAGTTTGTTGCACTGAATTGTGTAAGATAATCCTACATTATGTACTTCGACAGTAGGTTTGGTATACCTCAGAACAATCAGACATTTACTTTATTATACATTTCTGTCATGTTCCCCTGTAGCTGTTTCCCCCCCAAAACTAACAAACCCTATAAATGTTTTCGCATTTCCCCACAGATACAAATGAGCCTCCATGTTCAGAGGTAGGTTACCAGATACTCAGGACAAACAACAGGGAAGGCCACCTCCCATCCTGCTCTGCTAACAAGCTTCCCAGGGGGAATTTGATGGGACCCCAGTGGAGCCAGAGCCCCAAACTAGATGGATTTTGCAATCTAACCCAGCAGGGCAATCCTTCCGTGCTCCAGCACCTGACTGGTAGCAGAAGCAGATGTTATTCAAAAAAGCCTAAAATGCCATGAAGCAGGAAACAATTTGATAGTTTCTAAAATGCCTCCAACTTCTGCCAGAGCCAGCAATAACAACACAGTCACCTCCTCTTTTTCTCCCAGGGCTGATTTTAGTTTTTAAAAATATATATATAACTATATTTATGTTGCCATTCAACAGTAGGCTACATTTATTTATTTTTAATCAAGAGAGGGGAGGACATTCCAAACCACTCACGTTGCCTGGAAGGCAGCTGTTGCTACCATGCAAACCACCATGATGTAGAAGATAGGATAACCCAACTGCAGGTTCCCTTGGATTGAGACTGCAATCATGCCTGCAACCGCCTTCACTGTAATAGCCGTCATGGACCCTGGAAAACATTAAAGACAAAACTCCTGATGCTAGAAAACAAGGAAAACAGGTATCCCATAAATACACAAAGCTGCCTTATTCTGAGCCAGGCCACTGGTCTATCAAGGTCTGTCTTGAGCAGTTAAGGCTGTCCAGGATCTCAAGTAAAGGTCCTTCATCTCACCAGCTACCAGATCGTTTCAAACTGAACACTAAGGGGATTCAATCTGGGACTGCAGATACTCTCTAACCGAGCCACGGTTCCTTCCAAGCTGCCTTCTACTGAATCAGACACTGTTGATCTATTAAAGTCAGTCCTATCTATTTTGAAAGGCAAAAGCTCTCTAGGGTCTCAGGTCTTTCACATCGCCTGTTATCTAACCCTTTACCATCTGCATGTAAAACAGATGGCTCCCCTACTAAGTTTAAGTCAGAAGCTCCTTGGAGTGAGGAATGCCTCTTTGAAGAAGAAGAAGAAGAGATTGATTTATTCTTCACTACCCAAAGGTGTCTCAGAGCGGCTTACAAACGCCTTTCCTTTCCCCTCCCCACAACAGACACTGTGTGAGGTAGGTGGGACTGAGAGAGCTCTTGACAGAAACTGCTCTTTTTAAAGGACAGCTCTTATCAGAACTACAGCTTGCCCAAGGTCATCCAGCCAGGTGCAAGTGGAGGAGTGGGGAATCAAACCCAGCTCTCCCAGATTAGAGTCCGCGCACTTAACCACTACAACAAGCTGGCTCTCACCCACTTTGACCACCCAGCCCTACCACCCAACGCAACCTCTCTCAAACTCAGAGGTGTAGGTAGGTTAGACAGTCACAGGTTCACCACCTGTCTTGTCCCTATTTAGTTTTACAAGAGCCCTGACCCTTTTTCACACTGGGTCCCTGCTCTTTCCCAGGGACACCACCAAAAGGGCAACCTAGCTCCTTTTTCAACCGCCTTCACCCAGATATTTCCCTGAGCTGTTGGGTTAGGGAACTAAACACTGCTACCCATTCACATTGCCATCATTTAAAGAAACATATAACTAGGCTGAGGCCTGGTTTATGTGTGTAGTTTCTTCCCGAGACAATTCACTCTCAGTCAGCATGGATAAAGGAAAATGAGTTAACTTGAGTCACTGGAGAGCTACAGGCAAAGACATATTCCTCAATGCTTAAACTTTTAATTCCTAACTCTTCATTCTTCTAGTCCTCTCTGTTACAAGCTATCTTTTTTACAGCCAGTTTTTGACTCATATTCTTTCACTTACAGACTAAAACCCATCTTCCTCTCACACAGCTCTCTCTGCTCTAACTGTCCACATGTTAACGTTTCCCCAATGTCCCATTGGCTCTCACTGACTGCACTCTGAGAGAGGAGAACTGGACCTGTCTCTCACAGCCCTCTTACACTTTTCTGCAGAAGAGCCCTGAATGTTGACGGTGCTATATAAATAAACCACAGTAATACATAAGAGCAAGATTTCCTGTTGCAAAAGGTAAGGCAGAGGCTTCAGGTTTGGAGCCAGCATTGCTGGCCTTCCATGGGTTCCATATATGATGCACTCTGGCAGCAGTTTGTTGAAGCAGGCAGCCCCATCACAAGCCAAATAAGGCAGCACTGAACTGGCGTACCAACTCTGACACAAAACTCAGTTGCATCTCTTTCCCTTTCTTTTCTTAAAAAAAAAACAAAACCAGAAACAAAGGAAGCTCTAGGGAGCTACACATTTAAACAGAGAAACAAGGCAGTAGGGCTGGGAGGAAGGGAAGGCTGCTTAACCCATTCCCTTCAAAATTCTCCTCAGGCGCTTTTCTTCCTCAGGGAACAAAGTATGAGTATCCAAGGTGAAAAAAGCAGCTGAGAATGGGGTTCTAAACAAAAAATAACCATAAGGGATAAAATATTGTAATCCTTCCTCCCCCTGCCTTTATCCTATCTAAATTTGCAGTCTCCCAAAGCTTTTCTTTTGTTGTTGTTAAAACATAAACATCCAATAGGGGGAAACAGGCATGTGGCAGCGGGCCACATCTAGTTTGGCCCTGATCTTGTAGCTCCAGGGTCCTCAGATGTGGAATTTTGGGAGCAGATAGCACTGCAGATAGCACTGCAAGATGGCTGCCATTGAGGCAGGACCAATTACAAAATGTTGAAACATTCTAAGGCAAGAATCGTTGTATATGCTCTGCTCCCTGCAGACCCAAATGTGATGGTCTGGGCTCTTTTCAGACACTTCCTGTTCTGATTTTTGCTGCTGACAAGAAGCAAGTGGCCACTAGGAAGCACATTGCTGTGCACAATGGTATACATGAGTGCCATGTTGGGGATCACAACTGGACCTAAATATGCAAACATGCCTTCTATTGCATACACAGGTTAGGAAATTGAGCAACTTACTCTCTTGGTAGTATCCACAGCAAAATAAGTGCACATGTGAAACTTACCTAGCAGTGCTACCAACAGGAGAATCACAACAATATAGTTGGCTTTCCTCTCCTTGTAGAAATACAGCAGTAGGCAAAAGAGGATTATTTCTACCAGCTAAGAAAAAAAAGATGACAGTAGAAGTAAGGCAGTGCTATAATTAAGTCAAAACAATCTTCGTTTTGCAGGTGACCACGTTCGGTTTCCAGAAGATGGGGCTTTTCTGGTTTAGATGCTCAGCAACCTCAGAATTGGAAATTTTCCACAAAACTTACAATGTTATAAAAACATCCCAGCATTTACACACATGACTAAAAGAAACAAGACTTAAAACTCCCAACCAAAGTTCTCTCTAAGTTGCACTTGGCGGTGCTGGCACACAAGGCAGCTCAGGGGCTGAGAGCTTCTCAGATGTTTTCCCCTCCACTGAATGGGGGCACTTCCTTTTGGGACCCACAGAATTGGACCCCCGGTCCAAACTTTTTGAAACTTGGGGGACATTTTCAGGAGAGGCACTAGCTGCTATGCTGCAAATGTGGTGACTCTAACTAAAAAGACAGCCTCCCCAGAGTCCCAGATACCCACAGATCGATTCTCCATTATAGTCTACAAGAGGCGGGACCCGCGATACTCGCGAGGGGGGGGAGCTCCACACTTCTGAAGCAGAGGAGGAAGCAGCAGGAGGAGGTAAGTTCCCCCCCATCCTGCCGGTTCCCCCCGTCTGCTCCACCTCCCATCCCCCCCTTGATCTCTTCAATGTAAGCCGCCGTAGGTTCCACAAGGTAGAAAGGCAGCTAAAAGCGTTTTAAACAAATAAATATAGAACTTGCCCTCTAGACATGCTTTCCTAGTGCTACGTTTGTTATCTTTTTGGTGCCAGGCAGCCTATCATATAGGTGGCCATGGGGGGGGGGGGTATTGTGTGCAGTGTTCCTTCTAAGCTGCACTAGGGGTGCTGATGCACAACATTGTAGCTTCCAGCTCACAAGCATTTTACCTCCATTGGAAACAATGGAGGATGGGGCACCTCCTTCTGGGGCCCATAAAATTGGACCCCCCTGGTCCAATCTTTTTGAAACTTGGTTTGTTTGTTTGTTTTGTAAGCTGCCTTGAGTCAAAGGGAAAAGTGGGATTTATTTGAATAAATAAGTAGTTTGTTTGGGTCGATAAAATGTAAGCAACTTTTTTTTAGGCAGGGTTCTGACAGTGATTGTTCCACCTCTGTTATGCTTGACCTGTACAATTTGTCATATTTCACTAAAAATACCCCAAAAGTATTTATTTATTTATTTATTCATTTAAACATTTTTAATAAAATGATAAAATCATAAATAATAACACTACTAACAACAATAAAGTGCTTCCAGTATCAGATGGTGTTGAGTGGTTATGATGGTTTAACTCTTTGTAGACTGCAAGAGTCCCCCCCCCCCAAGTGCTTGTATGTTTTCTAAGGCTCAGCACAAGGAGACAGTTCAAGGCCAGGTCTACCAATACAATGGACTGGGGTGGGCAGACCTGTTCTCTGGAGGCCAGGTCTACCAATATAGTGGAAAGGGGTGGGTAGACCTCCAGAGGACAAGTCTACCAATATTGTGGAAAGGGGAGGGTAGATCTGTTCTCCAGAGGACAGGTCTACCAATATAGTGGAAAGGGGTGGGTGAAATTTGACTGGATTTTAAAGAATTTATTCTGAGATTTGTACAAGGTTATGGAAGTAATCTTATAAAAAACTAACTTATGCGATAGTTAAATGTATACTTGCTCACAGCTTTAGTGCTACTAGCTTTTTTCACTCACGAGGTAGAATTTCTGCTCACAACACTGTGGAGCTTAGAAGGAACACTGCTCCCAACATTAAGATCACCACCACAGGTAGGAATTCACCTCTTTCCCAGGGGTACCCATTCCCAGTATTAAGAACATAAAAGTCATCCAGCTAGATCAGATCAAGAAATTCATCTCATTGGACAACCCCTTTCCAACAGGGCCTGGCCAGAACTAGTTTTGGTAAGTAACCAAGCATTGCGTGAAGGCAAATGATGACTATGCCCTACTTGTCCCCAGAGTTGGCAAATGTGGTTCACACCACCAACCTGAAATTGATAAGGCTGCTTCAAGGCTGCCCCCACCCCATGGTCAGAAACATGGGATTACCCCCTTCCTGCCTCATGAATAGACTGTTCTCTTACACTACACATGATTTGATCTGTCCATGAGGAAGCTCCTTCTTGATGCAAAATAAGGATACCAACGCTGAGCATAAAGTTTCGAGTCACCTACTCCCATCCAGCTTTGTTTCAACAGGTGTGTGGAGGTCCCTTACCGTGTACAAGAGAAAAGGCCAGCTGACTAAATGCTTTGTGATGTTCTCTCCCGTCATGGTCTCATGACTGTTAGGCCCAAAGGTTATCAGCAGGTATGTCCCGACAACAGCCAAGCCACAGCCTACAAAGGATAAAACGTAGTGTCCTTTGGCAGGAGGAGGACAGGAAAGGCCATGTTAGTGGGTTAATCAGGAGGCACAGACCACACAAGAATGACTACAAAGCAAAGCAAGGGGGAATTTGTGAACTTTGGTCAGCAAACCTCTTCCCACTCCCCACCAGTAACCTCCTTTCCCTCCACTGGCTCTTACAAAGATCTCTTCTCCTGGCAGCGAACTCAACAAGATGGCAGCAGGTCCATGATTAGATCTTCCACCTTTTATAAGAAGGCCAAGGCAGCAGTTATCCAAATGGGGAAAGGAAGTTACAGGGTGTCAAGCTCAGGCCTAACCATTTACTCCAGCATGAGCACTATCCCTGAGAATCTCAGCCTTTAAAAACTGAATAAAACTGAAGGTAAGAAGCTTCAAGATCACCATGGTGGTAGAAAAAAGGCTTAGGTGGTGATTCTCCATTACTCTTGGATCTGATGCTACAAATACATTTCTGTGTTCCCCCAATGAGGCAGTTTTGGGTAAGGAAATGGCAATGGAAGGTGTGGCAGGGAGAAGACATACAACCCTCTCCTCCATCTGTATCGGGCCCTGTGTGCCTGGAAACGGCATTCCCAACAGGGAACTCACATGTGCATGTCCAAAAGTCCTTGATGCAGACCTAGACCCAACTCAAGGACTGTATTGTCTAGTTAAACTAAATATCTCTCCCCACCCCCCACCCCGCCTTCAGTCAGCACCTGATCAACAAGAACATACACCCTCCTTGCCACTAATGGAGAGCCCAGGCATTCCATGCTCCCCTTTGCCAGTCATTCAGGGCCCAGGGACAGCCTTGTGCGTTCAGGGCTACGTTTCGGGGCAGCCTTCAGGGAATCCTCTATTGGGGGTGGGGGTTTCAGACCACAGACTGGCAGAAAGCGAGGGACAAAAAGTCGACTTAGTACTGCAGGGGTCCTCTCTGAGGTGACGTGTGAGAACAGCAAATGCATCTGGCAAATGAATTTTCACACTAGAATAGGGAACACACTAGAATGCCGCAAGTTTGGGAATCAGTGCCACAAGGGATGTTAAAACTCAGTTTAGTGCCCTGGGAGGCTAAGGGACACTGCAGGAAACATACAGACATCACAATCCATAAATTGCTGTCAATCTGCTGTTCCTGAGGCAACTTGATGCCAGGAGTGCATCTTGGGCAAAAAGTTTCCTTTCTTGGCGAGGTTGGCCAATGGGGGAAGGTTCCATAAGTTCACTGCCTGTCAACTGCCTGCCACTGTTTTAAGCCAGGCCTGTGAACTGCCACTTATCTGTTCCCCTGGGATTAAGCAAGGATCACCTCTTGGTGACCAGGTAAGGAAGCTTTTGTAAATGTGAGAAGCATTTTTTCCTTACTTCCCCTCCCTCTTTCAGGCTGCCAAAGGTACTAGAAACTATTACACACAGGCAGGTAGGCTAGATCCTTTTTGCAAGTTAGTAATTAAAAACAGAAACAAAGAATGCTGGGAAAAGCAGCCATTTGTAAGAAGAGCAGGGATTTCTGCAGTGGAATGCTAGCAAGCAATTCTATTTGACTGGTATTGCTGGTCATGAAGGAAGCAAAACAAAATGAATAAAAATAAAATAAATCATGCTGCACGTGGAAATAAATAACTACAACAACACATCATGAATCTGGAACTTACTCAAGAACTCTTTGGGCTTCCATTTTTCTTTAATAAATATGATTCCTATAATTGCAGTTGCTAAGGGGATAAAAAGACAAAGTTATGAGTCAGTAGGTGGGTGTCACCAAAGGAAATTGGGGCTGGTGGCATCAGCATCTTCTCCTCTATCAATACTTCCGTCTTCCCAACCCCCACCCTGCCTGACCTGGATAGCCTAGGCTAGCCTGTTCTTGTCAGATATCAGAAGCTAAACTCTTGCCCCACCTCACTTCCAACATGTTGTAGGTAGGGGCTTGCGGAAGGGGGCAAGGGGTGGCAGACTCTCCAGCCCTTTCTGTTCTCTCTTTAGGCTGCTAGTGCTGCACTCCTTACCTCTGGGGCAGCTGCCCCCAACTATCTCCTTGGCTAGGTTTGGAGATGATTTGAGATACCAAGAATACCTCTCCAGTTTCTATCAGTTTCTAGTTTCTGCTACTAGTTTCTTCTAGGTTGGTGCATTCTTGAAATAAAACATGGACCTGCTCTAGAATAAACAAATTGGGAGAGGTGGGTGAATATGGAAAATAACAGAATGAGCCCCCTGCAGTTATATATATAAATTTATTAATCGCTTTCCCCAGTGGGCTCAAAGCGATGTACAGTTACATATTTTAGACGGGGGACTAACAATGTTCATAGGGGATAGGGAAGACAACATATATTCATTTAATTGCACACGCCGTCACTGCACAGTGTAAACGTCTTCTGGCTTGGCTCAGTCATTTTCTGAACAGCTGCTTGTCGACCAGGCTTCAGGACCCGTATGTCAAACCGCCACACTGCCACCGCCTGGCCGGAAACATCCACGGCAGGGATTTTTGTAGCCGAGAAGTTCTTCCGCCTTTTTCCAAACCTCGACCAGGACTTCCCGACCGTCAGCTAATACCCTCCCACAAGGGAGATTGGTGTGCCCACCCTCTCTAAGGAGTGGTTCCCATTTTATCTACTCGCCGAAGCTTTCGAATCGCTGGGTGGATGATGAGCTGGGGACAACATGCTGGCTGCTCACACCAGTGCGGGGCTCGAACTAACACAGTTCGGATGTTAAGACAGTGGGATATACCCACTGTGCCACCGCTCCCCTCCACTGTGCCACCGCTTCATTTACTTACTTCATTTCTCACCAATGGGAGCCCAAAGTGCCTTCCATTGTTCTCCTCTCCTCCATTTAATCAGCTCTGTGAGGTAAGTTACACTGAGGGTATGTGACTACCTGAAGGTCACCCAGCAAGTTGCCATGGCAAAGCAGAGATCTCAACTTCAGTTTCCCAGATCCTAGTCTGACTCTCTAACCACTATTTCATGCTGTCTCTCTATAGGAAGCTACCACTCACCTGGGATGTATGGAAACCAAGAGAAGAGGGTTTTTCCTTTCAAAGAATCTTTCCCACTCTCTAAGAGCCAGCTCCTGCTCTCAGACCCTGGCATAACCAAGAAGCAGAACCCAGAAAACAACTCTGCAAATAATTCCAGGTGGAATACGTTTGTCAGACTCCGATGGGCTCTTCAAACTGCCCTTCTTGGAGGGCCACTATGCAGAAGGATCCAAGTTAGCTCCCAACCTTAGTGGTATCCCTGAGGGCACTTTTTTATTTCTCCTATATCAAGGAATAGTTGCCATTCACATGTAACAGAGAAGAGTGAAGCACTTGGCAGTGATGTGGGAAGAGAGGGGAGACACCTCTGACAGAGCTCATACAGATAAAATTAAGATCATACCTTGCATTAAAAAGAAACACGCAGAAGTGGAGTCTGCAGCCCCAGTTTGCCTGGGTGCATGCAGAGAAGGGTCAGTGGGATTAACCCTTCAACCTCCACTCAGTTTCGCTACTCGTAGCTGGATTCCTTGCATTTTAAAGAGGAAAAATATATTTTTAATGCACATGCCTTCCCCCTACCCTATAAAATGCTAGTTTTGAACACCAAAACCTAGTGAAAGTTGAATGGTTAACCTAGTGAAAGTTGAATGGTTAACCTTCTCCCTTTCCAGCATGGCTCAAAGGTAAACTGAGGCCACAAAAGCCTGCAACTAGCATTTTACGAACACAACCAGAGATGTGTGTTCTTCCTGTCATCTGTTTGAGTCCTCAGCAACCCAATGCTTTCTGACAGGGATCACCCACGGGGTTTCAGCACAGCTCTGTACTAATACCTTCCTTGATACCCACACTTGCTGCTGGTTATAGTGCTGGGCATTTTACTAGTTTTCTATTAAGAAGCTGTTAAATATTGGGCCTCCCAGTTCCCCTTCTCCACCTCCAGGATAGTTTTAATCAATAAAATGAACCAGTACAGAGTGACTTACCTATGACTGACACAGCACCAAGTGGCACAATCAGGGAAAGAGGTGCAAAGGGGGAGGCAGAGAATACCCCAAGTTCTCCAAAAAAGAGCAGAAACAGCCCACACCACCATGTCTTGGTCTTGAAATAGACTCGGTGGCCTTTGCTGCCCGCCAGCCGGATATGGCTGTACTTCTAGGAAATGGAGATAACAACAAAAAACATTCAAGCTGCCAGTCACAAGAAGGCTGATTTCAGAATCAGTTCTTTGTCCTTCTCATGCTCACCTGGAGGTTAAGTGCAATGCTGATGAGGAGATGCCCAAAAATAGCCAACAATGCACCAATCAGGTTTTCCTGCAAGTGAAAGAAATACACAGCTATTAGTTTTCCCTTCCAGGTGTCTACAGGGTAAATATATTTGCCATTAAGCATGTAATACTTGGAACTCAATGATCCATAAATCTGGAGAACACAGCCCCTCCCCTACCCGACCACACCTCCACTGATAACATCCTTTCCCACCATTGGCTGGTACAAAAATCCCTTCTCCTGAGGGCCAATTCAACAAGTTGGTAGCAGGTTCATGATTGGATCTTTGACTTTTCAGAAAAAGCCAATGGCAGCAGTTGTCCTCCTTTCCCTCCCCCAAGTTGGACTGTAGTGTGCATGTAAAGTGGGGGGGACATAACTCTCCTTGTCTCTGATGTTTCCCCCATTGAAATCATTCCACTTCCTCCCTATAGGAAAAAACAAAAACAAATGGGCATCTGTTGGGTCTCTTCCAGAGAGGCAACTAGCAGAGGAAGGGGGAAGAGGCAGTAAGAGAAGGATAACTGGAAAACAGCACAGAGGAACAAGTAACAATTCCTCTGCTCCCACCACGGAAACCCCAATCCAAATACCACCCCTCCCAAGATGCTGTTGGTCCTGGTTATTCTGAAGCAGATGACTCAAACAGAGCCCACCTGCTATCTTCTCTAGTTGGGACATGGGGGTAGGACGGTCTCCCTTTGTGCAGAGCTTCTCAAGAAACAGCTAGTCTCCCTCTTGGCTCCTGATAATCTCAGAGCAAGTCAAAGGATGGGCAGGGGGAGGAGGCTTAGTGGCAGCCATGAAATATGACTTGGTACTAAATCAAGGCAAAATATACAGACCGTGCACTTAAGCATGGATGATGTGCTTCCCATATGTTATCTCGGTAATCCCAACAACCCTACAAGGTAGGGCACAGTTACCATCACCACACTACAGGTGTCAAGCTACCAGCCCTCTCCCATTTCACCCCAGGTATGATGGATCCCTGTTTCTTCTTCTCTGTGAGGCAGATTTTCCCACCTAAATACTGTTCCCCACTCTGACTGAGCAGCCTCTTAGTAGTGTATTTGAAGTGTAGTATTATAACTTTCTGTGTGTCCCACCCTGTGATAGAGAAGTTATTTGGCTTTTGCCCAGGCCAGAGATTTATTGCAACTCAGCAGCCTTCTTATAAAACCCTTTGGAAATGGCACTTAACACGAAGTAAAGCTCAAACAAAAAGATTGACTTTATTGAAGGCAGGTGAATCAGGAATAGGACAGAGGACGAGAGGTTGAGGGAAATTTGGTTCTTCATACAACTTATAATATTTTGAACAGGCAGCAGAATATAATTGAAGCTTATGTTCCTATTTCTTAACTGTGAGAGGTTTGTTTGTTTTGAATATTTCTTTCAGCAACAATGTGGCTTAATAAAGTTTCATAAAACTATTTTAGTTTCCTGGAAGTTAGTACTTTCTTCCTGTATTTGAGTACTTCCCTTGTGGGATTATAATTTCCCCTTTTATACTCTTGAGGAGTCTAAGACCGTCTACCTCTTAACACAAAACAGGGGTCCCTTCTGAGTTGAACCCTCTGGACAACTGGGTAAGAAATAGGAGCAGTAATCTTTTTCTGTTTGGCTAGACATGCAGTTTCCAACTGTCATGAAAAGCCTTTTTTGTTTGTTTGTTTCAGTGGCTTTAAGAAAAGCTTGGTTCAGGCTGCAAGAGGCCTACACAGAAAACTCTCCCTAGAGACACAGTTAATGAAGAGGCGCTGTGACCTTGGTAGATTGTTTGCAGCTGGCTGGTACGACTTGTAACTGCCCGGGAAGCAGCTAGCCCAATTAAGCACATCCCAGAGCGATTGAATTATTAGCACCTGTGTGGTGGAAGGAACGGACCCCTATGAGATAGGTTTCGTTTCTCCTCTGCTCATCAAAAAACCTTAGCAACAGACTTCCGGTTTTGGCTTCCTAAATGGTGGCCACAATCTCTCAGAGCTCCGGGAGACGTGGACTGTGAATCGGCGGATAGGAGGGGGTGCGATCGTATGCATCCCCCTCCCAGAGCCCTTGCGGGTGCTCCATAGCCATGGGGCGCTAGGAGGGTCCTTCCTCCGGCAAACAGCCGGCCAATCAATGCCCCGACGGTCCCGCTGCTGATTTCCGAAATGGACCCAGGAAAGCACACTGGGACAAGCGCTTGGTGGCCGGGCCATTTAATCCAGAAAAGTGATATCTACATGGAAAAGTGAGTGTTTGTTTAAGCAAAGGCACCAGAAAGTAACCTGAAAGCCTCCCCTTAATAGAATGAGGAGGGGGAAACTCCCCCTCGAAAGAAAAAGTGGACTGATAAACGACACTAAAAGGGGGGGGCAGAATGAAAAAGCGAGCGGACTAAAATAAAGAACTTTTGAGAACTTACCAAGCGATTTTAAAGGATCTTAAGACTTTGATAACAATTTCAAAAAGTAAACTATTCCCAAACATGGCGCTGAAGAAGGAGGAGAAGGACAAGCAATCGAAACTGAAATTCTCTGCCAGAAATGACAGCCCAGCGAGTTCTGGTCCTAGACAGGACACTACCAAAGACTTCCAAACTATGCTGACTGAGGCTCTGCGCCCTCTGCTGGAGGAAATGACATTGCTCCATGCAAAATTCGATGCACAACAAAGCCAACTAAATGAAACTACTAAAAAGACAGAAAAAATGGAACAAGAACTTAAAGAAGTGGATGCCAACACACAAAAGCTGCAGAAACAAATGCAGGGGATGGGAAAAAAGCGAGCAACTGAGGAGGCGCAACTTCTACAGCTGCAAATGGAAAAGATTTCAGGGGGTCCCTGAAGCAAGAGGGGAAGATCTAAAACAGACTGTGTGTGATTTACTGGGTCTGGTTGCAGATTTAGAAGCGGAGTTTTTACAAAACGAAACAGATACGATATATAGATCGTATTCTGACTTCATAAGAAAGAATAATTTGCTTGGCGAGATTGTGGTGAGATTGTACAGGAGACAAGTAAGAGATCAAGTTTTGAAAGCAACAAATGGAGCCAACCTGAAGATCAAAGACAAAGAAATAAAAGTTTTGAAGGATGTTCCATTTGAAATAAGGAAGAAGAGAAAGAAATACAGAGACTTGGTGCTGTTTTTACAGAAAAATAACATTCCCTACAGATGGGCCGTTCCTGAAGGCATGCTCTTCAAATTTAAAGACAAGAAAGAAAGAATTGACTCTCATGCCGGCCCAGCAGGGGAGAAGGATAAAGATGAAGATGGCAGCAGCAAGGGAAAAGAAGAAGACGGAGCACTGGAAGCTTCCGATGAGGATGCAGTTTCTGAACTGGGGGCGGCTGCCCCTAAATTAAGCTATCGTTTGAGAAACAAAAAGGAGAAAAAATGAGTTATGATTTTCTTTAGATCCTATTTTAAATGAATTTGAAGCATTTCTCTTTAGAGCTCTTTATATAGTCCCTTTTGTTGGAGATGCTATTATAAGCAAAAAGAATTATGTACTCACTTAATGTAGCAAGTATAAGCCAATGTATTATAAGCCAATGTTGTAAGCATTGTGAATGACCACCATCCCTTGGGTTTTTAGAGGTTTTCTTTTCTTTCACCTGTAGATTGTAGTATACCCTTCCTTGTTTCTTTGTTGTTTATAGAAAATGCAATAAAAATCCCCTACGAGGGGCAAACCCCCCCCCCAAAAAAAACCCTTAGCAACAGTGAAAAGCTGACATCACTTTTCCACTCTTTGATTGGTCAAAGGCCTAGGCTGGTCAAAGACCCCTTTTTTCTATAAAATAAGGTTTCATTCTGTAGGATGGTAGTGCCTAGGACTATGAGACCTTGTGTGGTCAATAGTCCCAGAGGAACCCTAGCAATGGGCATTCCCACTTGACTCTGCCTGGATGGGCTGATTGAATTATGTTGTTTTGTTGGACTGGTACACCTCTTTGTAACCTGGAAGGTAACTCTACAACTGCCTTGTAAGTTTTAGTTATGATGGTGATGCTTAGTGTTTGTTATGTTCCCTTCACTGTCTGAAGTCTTTTTCTTTTAAATAAGTTTGCACCTAAATAAAACAATTATATTTTTATTGTCGTGGTTAAACAAATTATATTTTTACTCTGTCCTGGCATTGTGCTCCTTGAACCTCAAAGAACCATTGCCTTAGACTCTTGACCACTGCGCCAAAAGTAACTGTTTGACTTTGAGCTCAGTCGGTAGTTCCACTCTGCAGGGCTGACCTTGTGTGTTAAGTTCCATAGTCAGTCTGGAAGTTTGGTCTTTTACTCCAGGACTGTTGGAAATCATTAAAAGACCTGGTGGCGGACTACCCTAGGCTTGAGGGGGTTTTAGATTCCCTTAAGTAATTGTAAATTGTGCTGTGCAACCTGTTCTTTGAACCCAAACATTTGGCCGGAGGGTTGAGCTTTTGTTACACCAACCTCCTGTCCAGTCCCTTCTGTCAAACCTAAATCCCAGTTCTGGAGACTGTGAATAAACAGAATTCAGCTAGGGCTGACACTTAGACTAGATATGTCGAACTCGTTTGTTACGAGGGCCAGTTCTGACATAAATGTCACTTTGTTGGGCTGGGCCGTGTGTGTGTGTGCCATAATAAGTAATGCCAGGTACCGGAGACAGAAACTGTATAAAGGACAGCAGCTGGTAAGCTCCAAGTTGGTGTGTCCTCACTGCAAGGCCCCATGGGCTGGAGGAGGTCCAGAGGAAAACCCAAATGGGCAGACTGGAGAGCTAGCAGCGCAGCACTAGGCAGTCGCACCCATGCTGCTTGACTGCTGCAGATGAGGTTGTTCTGCCTGCTGAAGCCCACTCCCCCCCAAACAGTCTCCTGTTCCCTCCCTTGCACTAGTTGTTTGCGGGCTGCATAAACGCCTTGGATGGGCCGGTTCCGGCCCCGAGCCTTATGTTTGACACCCCTGACTTAGACTTTTAGTTCTGATTTTTGAACTTTTCTGCAATTGTGTCGGTACGTAGTAAGGGCAAGGAGTTGTGTCCTGTCACTTCCCAAGTGACTTGTCTGTTCCCCTCAGACCGACACACACACTCCTCCTGACCGGCAACTCCCAAGCCAAAGTCCAAATGGAAGACTGACTCCCTCTGACAAGACTTTTTAAAACTCTCCTCAGCTGGCGCTGACCAATCAAAGAGAAGGGGTTGCATGCAGGCAGTAGCCTGCCAATCAAAGTGCTGTACAGTGAGGCATTAACCTCTGATCTCCCAGCTCTCTGAATTTGATGCACTAAGCATCCTGCTTTTGGAGGTCAGTTCGTCACACCGGGTCACTTCCTCTACCCACTTTGGCCAGGCTCTTTTTGTACTTTCTCTGAAGGGAGCTGTCTCCCTGTAGAAAGCACTGCCCTCAAACCACAGACATATGGAAACAGGAAGGTATAAGAGAGTCCTCCAACCACTCCTGTCTAAAGCTCAGGGAAACTTCATCTATGCAAGAGAAGAAAGGTAAGGACATTCCAGCGAATTTGGAACCTAGGAAGTTCTGCATATTTTAGCCAAACCTTAACTGAGCCGGTCAAGGGAACTGCCTGCCCAGGATGACACAGCTGTGCTCATTAAATGACATCCAGAGTTTGAATCATAGGTCGACAAAAGGAAGTCACACAGTATTTTAAAAAAAGCAACTACTCCACTTCAAATTAAAATGGCCTCAAACATCTGTTTAACTCTATCTACCTAGTTGTTTTTTTTCCTGCAAGTTATGGAACTTTCTGACCACCAAATCTAAAGTTCTTTTCTTTTCCCTACCATTTCTTAGAAATTCTGTAAAGGATTCCCATTTGATGTCTTTGTGCTCTGTATGAGAACCAGTGCAATGTGGAAGTCAGAGTTTCAGACTTCTAACAGATAGTCCTGTGTTCAAATTCCCACTCCAGGCCTAACCAGATGTGACGTTTCCCACGCTTACAGTTAATTCTGAAGCGCTGTGCCCACCTGCTACTAACATCAGCATGGAGGCGTTCAGTCCTCCTAGAGAGGAGGAAAAAAATTTACTGGCAGAAAGAAGAAAAGGAAGTGCGATTCTGAGGCTTGGAAAAAAGGAAGCAGGGGGAGATCTTTAAATGCCACTTTGAGGGGAGAAGGGACTGTGGAGGAAACGGGAAAGGGGGGAGAAGCAACGGTGGTGGCTTTAGCTCTCTCAAAGGCCATGTCTGGGGCCACTGCCATCCTCCCTTCATCCTCTTCTCCTTCCTGCACTCCTCCCTTGCTATGAAGCATCTCTGGAGGAAACCGCACACGTACAGTCTTTTCCTCTCTCCTCTGCAGCCCTTTCTCTCCTCGCCTGGAAGCACGGTTGTCAGAGTTTCCTCACATCCCTCTTTCCAAGTAGCAGAATCACTTCTCCAATTTTCTTCTAAACAAGGTGAGGGTTTTGTTTTTGTTTTTTAAAAAAGATCAGTTTCCTTCTCTACAGAAGGACAAACAACCTCTATGGTGATAGACAGACAGACACTAGACTTATGATGTTCCTATGAAGGTACACATGGAAAAAGCCCGCAACTTGGAAGATCAGGAGTTGACTATGGGCGAGACATACTCTTTCCCTCAGCCTAACATACCTCACAAGCCTGTTGATAGGATGAAGCAGGGAAGGGGAGAGCCACTTATGCCCTTCAGAGCTGCTTAAGAAAGGACGGGATGAGAAGGAGGTACATTTTAGTTAGCTTGTAAGCCTGCTGGCATGGCCTTGTTGGTTGTGACTCAGGTCCTAAACACATGCTATGTTTTCTCAGGATCCACCATGGGCCTAGTGTTCCATGCTGGGAACTCAATTCTGAGGCACGCACAGGCTCAATTTGGGTTTGGACCAATGCTCACAAGAATGGACTTCTTCCACCCTGACCTGGATAGCCAAGGCAAGCCCAATCTTGACAGACCTCAGAAGCTAAACAGGTCAGTCAACTCTGGCAACTACTTGGATGGGAGACCTCCAAGGAATACCAGCATTCGGGAGGACAGGGTCAGGCTTTATTCAGCCACCTCTATGAATATCCTCCAGACCACCAGTGAGGGTCAGTCACCAGAGGTTGCTATGACTTCCAGGTACACACACACACACACACACACACACACTTCTCACACTCACATGAAAAATACAAAAATTAAAAAAAAGAGAGAAAAGAATGGATTTCTTCCCCTGCCCAGTGCTGTTTACCCTACCTGAAATGGCCCTGGGGGGGATGCTATTTGGTGTAACCCTTTAGTATACATGGAGCCTTGAATGAGCTGAACAGTGTTACCCCAAAGCCATTATAAACCGGGAAAACAGCATTGTCAGGGGAAGTGACAGCTCCTGCTTCTCAGGCACCATAGTTCCAATGCGAATTGGGTCTGTGCACCCCTGGAATTGAGTTCCAGGTATGAACTTGCAATATGCAGCTGATTGCACCAACCCAGGGGGTGAAAGTAACACAGTTATGTCTTAATGTACGGTGCACAGCTCACATTAAATACTAGGAACACCACATAATAAAGTTATTTCAGGCATGTGAAGTGCTTGCAACATAAATTCTTATACAAATGCATAATAACATTAATACTGATATCAATGCATGTGAAGTGCTTGGAACCTACAATTTTATATAAATGCATAATAATGTGAATATTGCTATCAGTGCGCTTTGAGAAAAGTAACTCTGCATAGGATTACATTGTAAATCTGCTAGCCAGGACTGGTTCTCCAGCCAAGCCACCCAAACGACTGCACTTGTGGAGGCACAATAGGGAGCGTGCCAAGACCCTGCCGCTCACTCCCAGCCAACAGCCGCAAAGGAGGAGACTGGCATCCTCTCCTGAGCCTGTGTCAGGGGTTGAGGGTATACAGGGAAAAGGCCTGTCCAGGAGGCTATGGCTCAATGGTAGAGCATCTGGCTTACATGCAGAAGATCCCGGGTTCAATCCCTGGCACTTGACTTAAAGGAATTGGGTGGTAGGTGATGCAAAAGATCTCTGCCCGAAACCCCAGCAAGCTGCTGTCATTAAAGTAGACAATACTGACTTTGATAGACCAATGGGGCATAACTTGGTATAAGGCACCTTCATGGGTGCTTAGGTAAAGGTAAAGGTTCCCTTGCTCGAAAGCCAGTCGAGTCCGACTCTAGGGTTGCGGTGCTCATCTCCGTTTCAAAGCTGAAGAGCCAGCGCTGTCCGAAGATGTTTCCGTGGTCATGTTACCTTACCAGCGAAGTGGTACCTATTTATCTACTTGCAATTTCTTGCTTTCGAATTGCTAGGCTGACAGGAGCTGGAACTAGAGACGGGAGCTCACTCCGTCATGCGGCACACTCGGGTCTTGAACTGCTGAACTACCGACCTTCCACAGCCTGCAGTTCAGCGTCTTAACCACTTGAGCCACCGCAGCTCCTATATCATGGGTGCTTAAGTCTCCTCAAAGCAGTTCTTTCCCCTGACAGTGTAACTCTCAGATTTACTGGCCAAACTAGGATTGTGAGGAAACCTGAAGCTGCACAAACACACTTCCAACATAATAATGGACCATCACACTAACAAAGAGACAAGTCTCCACTATTTAATCCCCCTCCTGTATCCCTCAAATGGAAAGCTTTGGGTAAGAAATAATCTTACCTTATATGAGAAGGAATCCTCGTGGACCAGTCGGGGTCCAGCTGCCGTCGCGAGCGGAAGCTGCTGCAGAGCAGGGCCATTCATTCTTTCCATCGTGACTCATTCGCACAGACCCTCTTGATCTTGCCGGCCCTGCTCAGTTAACCACAACAGCGCTTTAAAAAGGAGACTTGGGGGGAAGGGGGTCCACCATAGTCCGCCTCTACATTGTGCTTTCCGAGCTACAGAAACACTGCTCAGCAGGTCTGGGTGTTCACTGGCATTCTCCTATTCCCCCATCCTACAAACATAAAACACAAAAAGGGAGGGGTTTATCCAAGAAAGAAGCTTTGACGTCCTGAGGTTTTCGTTTTCTAGATGGAAGTAACTGAGAGTTAATGTTATGTGGTTGGCTGGAGGACAAGTCAAAATTCACTAGGCAGGTGGTTCTCAAACTGTGAGTCAGGTCCCAAAAACTAGTTGCAGCTCTCTTGCTCAGATAGGTTATGAGGCCAAGAGGGAGGAGGTGGAATAGAGTGAGCTGGAAGAAAAGACTGAGGCCGAGGCTGAGCGGCAGAGCACTTGCTTGGCATGCAGAAGGTCCCAGGTTCCATCCCTGGAATCTTGAAAGGTTCAGGAAAGTTGACAGGGTTGCACTCCCCCCTTTCTCTCTCCTGGTCATCAAGCCAGAGAGCCATTGGTGGCTTCTGTACAAAACCCAGGCAACATCCCAAAATGCCTGAAGCTGACCTAACCCCGCCAAAAATTGAGAGATTTGCAAGTGGCTGATAATTGGAAGTGTAATCAACGTCCAAGCAGGGTGTCTTTCTACCTCTACCAAAACTGACAGAGTACTCCCTCTCAGAAAGAGACATTTATAACCTCCTGGATCCACTGGTTACCCTCCCCCCCTTTTGCCTAGAAGGAATCTAGCCCTAAATGTTGGTGCACCTTGAGCTGAAACTCTGGTGCAATCTTCCCACTTGCAGTGCCTTGGAGGGCAGGACTGTGTACATCACTCTGAAGCCTGCTATTCCTTAGCTACAAATACTACCTCCATAAAAGCAGCTGGAGAAGGGGGAACACACATCTCTTCCCACATATACCCCTTGCTACCAGCTACAGATGAGTGAACAGGGTAAACGTTTGAAATAATGATATTTATTTCGCAAATGCCACCTCTCAAGAACTGTTTGAGGCAGAGCATAACTAAAAACAATACAACAAAACCAATGGAGCCAATAAAAAAAGTCAACAAATACAAATCACATCAGTAAAAAGAAGCCTAGCTGATAAAATCATGCCAGGACACAGAAGATTTTTCAGTAAGCAAAGGGCTAATGAGTTCCTTCAAAAGAATCTGCAAAGGTACCAGGGCACCTCCTGAGTTCCCTGCAGCTCCTCACCCCTAATGGTCCCCACACTACTGGAAACAAAAAAAACACTTGGACCCCCCCCACCTCCTTGCCCATTCCCACTTCAGAATTCTACCATGCCTCCGAAGTCTGCAGCAAACCCTTGAGCCAAGGTCACATCATACAACCTGCAGCTCAATGTCACTTTCATTGGAATAAACATTTGTGGAATCTCATCTCAGCACAAATGGCCCTTCCAGGCCATAAAACCCACATGTCCTGTAAAGCAAGTACAGCTAGGAGGTTCACTCCTGGCATTACCAATCAGGCTAAATTAAAGGATCGTTATTTTCTCTTTCTGTTGATAGCTCTTCTTTCATTACAGCACGTGAAAAGCCCAATGTGTTGCCTGCCTCCAGTTTTATCAGCCCAGCCCTGCGCATGGTGGCACAATGGGACTGGCCTGCTAAGTACGCACAAATGCAACTGCAGCCCTCACAGATTTGATCATAGGCTGTGTTCTTTTGATCAAATTCAGTATTCACTTGCAACACAACGCCTCTCTCGTAATGCTTGACCCCTTGGCCTCACTTTGTAATGATACAATCCCCCTTTCCCCAGTATTTAGAGGTATCCAACAGGTAGGTTGAGGGCTGCTGCACAGTAGCATGTGCATCCCCCTTGACGATCCAGGAAAAGGTCTGCTTTAGGCTTTTCTTTAAAGCTGTCATTATCCTTTTTTTGCCATCAAGCTGCAGCTGATTTATGGTGACCCCGTAGGATTGTCAAAGCAAGAGACACCAAGGCAAGAGATATTCAGAGCTGGTTTGCCATTGCCTGCCTGTGTAGTGATGCTGGTATTCCTTGGTGGCCTCCCATTCAAAGTGACCAGAGCCAATGCTGCTTAGCTTCCAAGAGCAGGCTAGCCTGGACTAGATCAAGCTAGAAGAAGAAGAAGAGATTGGATTTTATCCCGCCCTTCACTGCCCAAAAGTGTCTCAGAGCAGCTTACAAACTCCTTTCCGTTCCCCTCCCCACAACAGACACCCTGTGACGTGGGTGGGGCTGAGAGAGCTCTGACAGTAACTGCTCTTTTTTCAAGAACAGCTCGTATCAGAACTATGGCTTGCCCAAGGTCATCCAGCCAGGTGCGAGTGGAGGAGTGGGGAATCAAACCCGGTTCTCCCAGATTAGAGTCCGCGCACTTAACCACTACACCAAACTGGCTAGCCTGGGCTATCCAGACCAAGGCATTTTATTTACATATTTATACTCCGCTTTCCTTCCCAATGGGTACCCATCACTCTCCTCTCCTCTGTTCCTTTTACCCTAACAACCCTCTGAGGTAGGTTAGGAGTGTGTGTGAGTGGCCCAAGGTCACCCAGCAAGCTTCCATGACAGGGCGGGGGATTCAAACCTGGGCCACAGCCTCCCAGATCCTAGTCCCACATTCTAACCACTTTACCATCTTATTTCATAGAATTTTTCTCAGCAGTGCTGAACAGGTAACTTCACCCAGATCCTAGTCCCACATTCTAACCACTCTACCATTTTATTTCATAGAATTTTTCTCATTTTTCTGGTACTTTTCCTAGTCTATGTTCTGTTTCTAAGACAGAACAAAACTTGGTAACACGCACGAGGGTGGCTCGGATATGGGATATTTTTTTCCATTCCTCAACAGTAGCTCTCTTTAAAGGCTGGCGAGCTCTGATATTTACAAACTCCAGATAAGAGATTACTGTAATCCTGAGAGCAAGCCCCACTCAACACAACAGTGTTTAATTCTGAATAGACATGTTGAGGATTGTGTTGTAGTTCACATACCAGAAAAGCAGCTCTAGCACCCAAAGGCTTCTGCCAACCTACATTTGTTAACAATTCCAGAGCAGGGTAGCTGTGTCAGTCTGCGGCAGCGAAAGCAAACAAGAATTTTGCGGCACTTTAAGGATGAACAGCATTTTATTTCAGCTCAGCATAAGCTTACTGGAAGCAGAGCTGGGGCTATCTCTCTGGAACGGACCCTGGCATGAACATTTTGGATAGGAAAGTTCTAATTAAAAAAGAACGAACTGGGGACCGACGGAGGGGAATCTTCAGCTTTGCAAAAGAAAGTTCTTCCATTTTACTTCCGGGTTACATTTAAATCCACATTTAACAACTCCCCCCCTAATCAATTGCTTCAGTTTATCAGCAAAACAATAAAAGGGTATGCCCTCTACCCCAAACTGTGACGTCTCAATTACAGAACGACAAAAGCATGCGTCCAAGGCCAAAGCACAGCTGCACAAAATGCTGCGCAAGCAACCCAAATGCTCACCTGTTTTCTTTCTCTTCCAACTGAAAGATGCCGCCGGGAAGCAAAATAAAATGTATGTACCACCACCACGCACACACAATCCCTTTGAACGTCTTCCTCAGGTGAAGCGCTTGTCCAACCCTGATCTCGAGTTTGCGCTTCCAAAACAAGCGCTGCGATTTGACGTCGAAGCTGCCAGTCACTTCCCAGGAACTTGGCTGAAAAAGGCGATTGGTCGCCCTGGAGAAGGGAAATAAAAAATAACAGTTTGGCTGTGAGAATATCTGCTGAGTTTGGCAAAGCTTGGCTGACGCGTGCAAGGCTGCTACAGGGTATGAACAGGAAGCGACGAGCTTCTAACCAACCGAGACTGTATGTTTTTAAGTATTTATACCCACAGAATAATCACATACATCTATATACGCATGTGTATAATACTTATGTTTACACAGATGCATACATATATATTTATAATTGAAATGGTCACAAATTGAAAGTAACCCTTTATTTTTATTATTTCCAGTGGGTAAGCATAGGGCCTGCCCTGACCTGGGTGGCCAAGTGGGTGGGAAGTACTTGGATGGGAGACCACAAAGGAAGTACAAGGATGGTATGTAGAGGCAGGCGGTGGCAAGCAAGCCACCTCTGTTCATATTTTTCTTTGAAAACCCCCATGGGGTTGCCATAAATCAGCTGTGACTTTATTTATTTTATTTATTTTTGGATTTATATCCCGCCCTCCCCGCGGACGGGCTCAGGGACTTGACCACACTTTCCTCTACTAATAATGGGCCCTAGCCCACAAAACATTATACAACAATAAATAGCATTTAAAGTGCCACTAGTCTGCTTTTTATACCTTTTATTATAAAAATATCCCATACTTTAATTTGTTGTTTGCTTTGTACTGTAATTTTGTAATCCTAGTTCATTGGTTATACTGCCCTGTAATCCTCTTTGAGGCTCCGTGGGAGAAGCAGATTGTAAAGTGAATAAAATGAATTTTAAAATGCAGGTCATATATTACTAGGGTTGCCGAAATGAGAAAAGAATGTCCTGTTCCTTTAATAATTCATTTAACAAAATGAATTTTAAAATGCAGGTCATATATTACTAGGGTTGCCGAAATGAGAAAAGAATGTCCTGTTCCTTTAATAAAGACTTAATTGAATTTTTATTTACTTCCATACCATTAAAAGCTTCAAAGGCCTATTTCCACAAATTAAACTAAATTGAATGCTCTCTTGTTCCTAGTTAAGTGGTTTCAGTTCCATTGCTCTTTGATAACTTTGGCATGCTTGCCCCTTTGAATTCAAGGGGACTTTTACTCCCAAAACACATATACTATCTTGTTGAATACCTTTTGCTGGAGGGGTGCGCTGCATTTATTTTCTTTCAACCCCATATTCTAGCCATTCAGGACTCTGCCCTGCCAACAACAAAACTCCACATTAAAATTCAAAATTTGTAACCCACCAATAGGGCCATCCTAAGCAGAGTCTCCTAGCAAAGATTTGCTGCTGGGGTTTCCCAGAGCTGAAAAGTAAAATGATGATCCAAAAGTACCTTAAAGTCTAACAGAATTTATTCCAGCATGAATTTTTGTGTGTCAGAGCTCACTGCCTCCCTCAGATGCATAGAAATGAACATATATCAGGCTAGATTAATACTAAAAAAAAAGGGGGTGGGGGAAGTGATGTTACAAGGGAGTTCTCCAAGAATTACAGCTGATTTCCAGAGTACAGAGATCAATTCCCTTGGAAGAAATGGCAGCTTTGAAGAGTGAACTTGATGGCCTCACATCCCTGCTCAGCTTCCTCCCCACCCTAAGCCCTGCCCTTGCTAGACACCAGCCCAAAATCCCAATCTGCCATTGGCATGGTATAGTAGTTAGAATGTCAGACTAGGGTCCAGGAGATCCAGGTTCGAATTATCACCCTGCCATGGAAGACTCTCAGCCTAAATGGACATAAGAAGAATAACACTGTGAGCTGCTTTGAGTCCCCAGAGCATATTAAAATGGGTCATAAATATCTAAAGAATGAAATAAGCCTTTTTGTTGATAATTTGATTTAAAAAATTGGGTCCAAATCTTTAGACTAAAGCAATATGGCTTTTTGTAGAGTAAAAATGTAATGGGTTTTTTTTTTCCATAGAGGTACTCTGCATGCGCTCAGAGACACAAAGAAATCTGAAGGCATTTTGCACATGCTGAAAGATGCTTGAGGGGGTAAAATGTTTGCAAACTAAAGTTGCCAGTGGTACTTCCTCAGCATTAGAAGCAATAACCACTGCAAACCCAACCGGTTCTGCTTTACATTTCATTGAAGCCTTTTTTGTTCCATGGTGAAATTTACAAATCCCATCCTGAAAGTCACCTTTTAAAAATCAATACAAAAGTGGACTTTAGTTTGCCAAGAAGCGCATAGCTGAGCTTGCTGGGATGCCATCAAGCTGTTTCCAGTCAGACTCCGGAAGAAAAGTTCACTTCAGAAAGCCTCCCTGTGATTGGGCTACTTTTAAGGTAACAAATGTGACAAGCAAAATGATTGGAAGATGCTTCTGTCCCTTGTTGCCTAAGCAACAACATACAATCATGCTCTGGATTCTGTTCTGAGGCAGCCCCTGAAAGTCAGGTAAGAGCAAGGTCAAGGTAGCCGGACACAATGCTGCAACTTCCGAAATAAGCCAACCTGTGCAGATACTGCATTGCCATCAAGTCTCAGCGAGACCTAGTTCCAGCAGCAAACCACAGAAAGAAGCTTTGGGCGGTCAGCTGGGAGAGTCCTGAAGACTTGCATGAGGTATAGGAACTAGAAAGACTGGTTAGACCTGCAGATCCCCATTGAGTAGGTTTACATGCTGTCAGGCAGCATTCTCCCCTCAAATTGGCCTTCTGACAGCTAAAAACAGGCCTCAGTTGTGAAAAAACCCAAAAGTTGCAGGAAATACCAACTTTCTTTGAGGCACTTGCAAACCACTTAAATGAGCAGTTTCCTTTCATGGAACCACCTTTGACCTGGAATATCATCAGCAGTGATGTTTTGGGGATCTACAGATGACTCAGGCAGTAAAGGGAGGAGAGACTGACTATTGGGGGACTATTGAGCTGTACGTAGTCAGACATATAGGTTGGACGTCAGAAAAGCAAATTTTGACCAAGTTATGCTGCGTAGAATCCTATGGTCAGAAATACTTAAGGAGAAGGGAGTTCAAGAGGGATGGGAGTTTCTTAAAAGCGAAATACTGAAGGCACAAATCACAAATGATTCCTATGAGAAGGACAAATGGGAGGAGCTTAAAGAAACCAAGGTGGCTCTATAAACAGCTTTCTAAGGACTTGAAAAATAAAAAACTCATTCAGAAAGTGGAAGGAGGGCCTTATAACCAAGGGTGAATACAAACAAATAACCAGTGTTTGTAGAGAGAGAGTAAGGAAAGCTAAAGCTTAGTATGAGCTTAGGCTAGCGAGAGACGCTAAAAACAACAAAAAAGGGTTCTTTTCTTATGTTCAAAGTAAGAAAAAGAGCAAGGCCCATTTTGGGGACAGGAAAGTGAAATTGTAACAGGTGATGAATAGAGGGCAGAACTTCTCAATTCCTACTTTTCCTCCGTCTTCTCTTGTAAGGGAAATGGTGCTCAACATGGCAAAAACAGAACACATGATGAGGGAATGGAGTTGCAGCCTAGGATTGGCATAGGGGTAGTACATATCTAGTTTCTTTAAATGAAACCAAGTCCTCGGGGCCAGATGAACTGCATCCAAGAGTACTAAAAGAACTCGCAGATGTAATTTCTGAGCCTCTGTCCATTATTTTTGAGAATTCTTGGAGAACAGATGAGGTGCCAAAAGATTGGAGGCAGGCAAATGTCCCCATCTTCAAGAAGGGGGAAAAGGAGGATCCAGGTAACTACTGGCCCGTCAGCTTGATGTCTATGCTTGGGAAAGTTTTAGAACAAATCATCAGACAGTCCTTGAGCATTTAGAAAGAACGGCTGTGATTACTAAGAGCCAGCATGGATTTGTCAAGAACAAGTCATGTCCATGTCAGGCCAACCCTATCTCTCTTTTTTTAGAAAGTTACTACCTTTATGGATCAGGGTAATGCCATAGACACCGTTTATCTTGATTTCAGTAAGGCTTTTGATACGGTTCCTCATAATATTCTTGTTGGCAAATTGGTGAAATGTGGTTTGGATTTGGTGAAATGTTAGATGGATCTGTAACTGGTTGACAGATCGCACCCAAAGAGTGCTTGTTAATGGTTCCTTATCCTCTTGGAGAGAAGTGACAAGTGGAGTGCCTCAAGGATCTGTTCTGGGACCAGTTTTGTTCAACATCTTTATAAATGATTTGGATGAAGGAATAGATAGAATGCTTATTAAATTTGGAGATGATACTAAATTGGGAGGGGTAGCAATTACAGTAGAATATGGAGTCAGGATACAGGATGATTGTGACAGGCTGGAAAACTGGTCTTGAATTTCAATGGAAACAAATGTAAAGTTCTGCATTTAGGTAGGAAAAATCAAATGCATAATTATAGGATGGGGGACACTTGTCTTGGCAGTAGTATGTGCGAAAAGGATCTAGGGTTTTGTAAACCATACACTGAACATGAGTCAGCAGTATGATACAGAAGCTAAAAAGGCAAATGTGATTTTGGGCTGTATCAACAGAAGTCTAGTAAAACAAGATTATAATAATAATAATAATAGTAATACTTTCAATTTATCAATCGCTTTCCCCAGTGGGCTCACATTAGACAGGGGACTAACAATGTTCATAGGGGATCGGGAGGACAACATATCATCATTTTTTAAAAATTGCACACGCTGTCACTGCACGGTGTAGACGTCTTCTGGCTTGGCTCAGTCATTTTCCGAACGGCTGCTTATCGACCAGGCTTCAGGACTCGTATGTCACATTGTCACACTGCCACCGCCTGGCCGGAGACATCCACTGCAGGGATTTTTGTAGCCAAGAAGTTCTTTCGCCTTTTTCCGACCTCGACCAGGAAGTCCCGACCATCAGCTAACACCCTCCCACAAGGGAGATTGGTGTGCCCACCCTCTCTAAGGAGTGGTTCCCATTTTATCTACTCGCCGAAGCTTTCGAATCGCTGGGTAGACGATGA